CTTTTAAACAAGACAGACCACAGGAAAACACATTGACCAAAAAATGCCCTAAAATATGTGGATGGGTGTGATTTTTAGAATAAAATTACAAAAGAAGAAACCACCAACATGCCAAACATTGGGCAAAGCCATCCAAAGGAAACAGTATGCATAACCCAGTTTAAAGATTAGATGCGGTTACAAAATGCTATAAAATGAAAAAAGTGGGATTTTTTTTTATTTTTGTGCTACTGTTGCCGCAGTCAGATTTAAAGAAAAGATATATGTCTCCTTTAAGAAACAGAAAATAGGTGACTGAGCATCTTTTGTCCACAATTCGTCCCTTAAAGCACCTGTTACACCCACACACTGAAGAGCTCGTATTTAGATGCAAATGACTATAATCCAAATTTTAAAAAAAAGATTAAACGGAAATATCATTAGATCAATATGGTTAGTAAGAATGTCCACTCACCTGGTAGGCAGCAAAAAGTTGCAGTGGTGAAAGTCTCTAGCAGGGGGAAAGTGACTATGTGAATGAGTGTGGCTAGTAAATGCTCCCCTCAGTCAATCCTCCCCTCTTCCCTCCTCCATTTATCCCTCCCTGCTTCTTTCACTACCTCCCTCCTCTTTCTCTGGATTTCTTTCTGCCATGTAGTCTTTCATGGTTACCACACTAAAACGTGAGGCAGGCTGATGCCTTAAAACTGTCTGCATGATGCTCAGATCTTGTGTAACAGCCAGCAAAATAACAGCAATACGTGTCATCAATTCATTTTTTTTAAGGCTTTAAAATGGTCAGCTTTAAACTGCTGAAAGTTTTTACTTATACATATATACACATGGTTGCACAGAATTTTATTTTGGCGCGTCAGAGTAAAGAAAGGCTTTTCAGATCTTATTTGTAAGAAAAAATTTAAAAATCATTTATTTTCCCTTCACCGTGATACTGTACTTTATTCTATCAAATTAGAATAAAATGTGGGATTTTATTATAAAATATAATAAAGATACTTTAATGAAAGTCTGATTTCAGAATATATTTTAAAACTGGACTGTGACAATATGCTGTAGCTGATTAAATTAATTGCCTCGATTTGACGTCTAAAATATTTCATTCCAGAGATTGTTTTTCAACAACACTCATTGATTTCTTTTTTTTTATTTTTTATTTATAAAAGGTTAAGAACTTGTCTAAAATAACATGTTGTTTCTTATATAATACTTTTTTTTTCTCACTTACACCTCTCTCCTCCTATAGGCTAAAATGATGCTTTACACAGCTTTACCCTCAGAGTGTTGCACAACTTTAGGGGAAACATGTGTAAATTAAACCAACAGGAAGGCTTCTGCTTCCAGAATAGCTTTAAATTCTAAGTTCCCGGTGTCTTAAAGAAGCTCCCTATGCCACAGGGTAGATATTTCCTTGTTGGGACAGCCACAAACCACCAACTTTAAAATAGGAGCAGTCTCACCGTAGCCATGGTGAACGTGACAGATGAGAATATGCATTACCACCCCGGCCCAGAGGTATGCAACAACTCTATAAACTCTCATTGTTGAGAATGGAGCATAAAGATTTAACTCATCTGTGCAGGTCAAGATTCACTTATATGGGAATCTTACTTTTCCACCGTACCTAAAATTCTTAACCTGTCTACGGTTTGCTCCAGAGGTGTTTGAAACATGTTTGTTTGTTTTGTGAGTCATCTTTTTTTTTTTTTTTAGAAGATTTTGGACAAATTTAGCTCCATGGCCAATGTTGGCGTCAGGTTGTTGTTTTGATAAACTGTATTTCTGTTTTCAAGCAAACCGAAGTGGGCACCTTTCTGGGGCAGTACGGTTTATTCATAGACATGAAAAATGGCAATTATGACAGGGGAGGTAGGAACTTAAACATACAGCACAACCATTATAAACACATTGCTGTATGCAGATTTTCAGACAGCAGCGTGTAAAGTAATTACATACCAAATAACTGTATGTATGTACTCTTTGAAGCTGTAATAGACATGCTTGGGTGTCCTGGAGATGGTGCCACTGGGTGGCAATGTGGTGGTCCCTCCCTTACTGTTAAACCCCGGACAGGAAGAGCAGACCCCCTATTAGCGCGGCCCAGATCAGAGGGATATCCGAGGCTGACGGCGAAGAAGGAAAAGAGATGCTAAGGTTTAAACCAGCGTCCAATTTAACTTGCGATACAGACTAAACATATCGGATTGAACAAACTAGAACAGACAGGTGCTCCCGCTTGTGAGCAAATGGTTCACAGTTCAGTGGGATGTGGGGCAGAGTGAGAGTGCTCTTCAGGGCTCCCAGAGAAATCAAAGGACTATCTGAGAAAGCAGGTCTCTGCGGCAGAACGCTTTCTCTCTCCACCTCTCTAATTACACAAACCGAGCTAGCTCTGCCCTTACCCACAATCTGTGGAGGCATGAAATAAATACATACTCTCCAACAATAAACAAGTGCTTTTTCAAATGACATGCTCACCCCCACTGCCGTCTCTCCAGGCTTTCATAATGCTTCGCCTTTCAAATGGCTGTGGAAGAATGTAGGCTGGTACTATAAAGCGAAGAGTGCAGAGAGAGGTTAATCATGATGCATTACATGCATCATCAAAATGTTAGTGATAAAAAAAAAATCAAATTAATTAGTGAAATTTTAAACTGTTATAACTTGATATGGAAATATTACCTGCATAGACGTTGCATGTTTATTTAAAGTCATATTTCAGGGATGTTGTACTGGAGATAGAGGACTTTGAAACATTCTGTGAATGAGGATATCTGTAAAAGAGATGCATTCTTACTATGTTATTATAGTCATAGATTTGCTCAGATTTCAATATATATCGGATAGGATTGTTAATGCTGTGCCAGAAACATTAAGTCCTTATTAGATGGCTGAAGATCAGCCTTTAGCTTTGTTGTAAATGAAGCATAAAGATTGTAACAGTCCAATGTTAAAATATCCAGACATTCACATAAAGTGCCATGCAGAGATTTACAACCCTCTAAACTCTTAGGATTGTGTCATGCTACAACAAATTCAAATGTATTTCATTCAAATTTTGTGATAAACTAACTCACAGAGTTTTTTATTTTTTTTTATTTAAAAAAATAAAAATCTGAAGATTTTGATGTCCTTGTATGTTCAGTACTCCAGACAGAATAGGGTAGAACCACTTTTTACTGTTTTTGCATATGGCTGTACACTAAAATTGCTACCCATACGTTATAGCTCAAGCTCAGTCATATTTGATAGAGATTGTCTCGGCACTTCATCGCAATTAAACATGTTTTGATCTAAATCATTAAATCATGATGCCATATGTTGACTAAAGTTCTCTAACAAATCTCTAAAGCCTTCTTGGAATAATTACATATATACTTAGACTGTTTTACACACAAGTGAACCATATTTAATAATTAGGTCACTTTTGAATAAATCTAATTGAAGGTGAACAGCTGACACCAGCTTAAACGGCAGAGTGAGGGTTCTGGAAACGCTTCAGAAGATCTTCTACCATCAAAAATCTGTAGCGATCTAATCATTTCAGATATTATTTATGAGAATGATGCATAACTTACAAGTCAGTATGATTAAGGTCTCTAAATAGGAAAATCTCATTTCTGGTATGTGAATGACCTTTGTTTATTTTATATATATATATATGTGTGGCCATCTTGGTTTTTGTCTGTCTCTGAAATGTACCTGCACTGCATGGCTTGTTCTATTTTCTAAGCTTGTAGAACAGTACGTACCAAAATCCTGAAGTCAGTTTATAGATGCGTCCACTGCTTTTTAGAAAAATAATGGTTTGGAAAATGTAATTATAAGGCATTTTTAATGTTTTTTTTTTCCTTCATCTTCAATCAGTCTTTACTGAAATTATGACTTTTTCCTTTTATTCCAAGCCCGTTTAATTTTATTTTACTCATCTTTGACTGGCAGAGGAAACGTTTATTTCAATCTAAATCTGGATGCCGCTTTTTGTTCTGTAGTTTAGCAAAATTACAGTTCACATTGCAGACTCTTCATTCATCAAAAGTTCCACTCAAAGATGAATTTAGGTTGGGGTTTTTTTCATCAGATGCAGTGTGGGGGAAAAAGTGCATTGGCTGATGGGTTACCTGGAGCTCTGAGTTTATCACCTGAAATTATAGAATAGTCTAAAATCTAGACTCGGCCTCCCATTTTTGGTGTTTTTCTCTTAATAGGAGGATCATTCAAGATTACGTTGTGTTAAATGTGCAAAACTGGTATTGATATGCTTTTGTTGGATTTTCCTGAATATTAATGGTGTATAAAATGGTGTGCTCTAGATCTGTATAGCTTAACCAAGCCTGGTACTGGTCTTCATGTATAGGCTCCAGTTGACTGAACACTAGCACAAGAGAAACCCCAAAGACTCGTCAGTGATCTCATTTTCTAAATTTCACTCATAATCCATTACATGTGAAAGAGAAATTAGGTGTATACATACTCTATGCATCACACCTTTTTTGTTATTCAGGATATGCATACAAAACAAAAAAAAAAACAACCTGATTCGTAAAAGTTTTCACATGTTGAGCGGTCCACGTTCAGTTTCTCTAATGAGGCATACCACTTAATCTTGCAGCATGGTGTACTCTCACATTTACATTAGCTGTCATCAGGCCACAGATTCTCTTTTTGAAATGTAATCTGTGGCCCCTTTAGTTGCCTTTTCCCACACATTCTCAGGGCCGCCTGCATCTTTCTTTGGTCTGGGCGGTTTGCTCAACTCATTACTTCATGACGGCCACACAAGTGCGTCCTCTGAGTGATGAAAGGGTAACCATGCTGTCCCCACACCAGCAAGCTGTTAGCAGCAGAAGTTACTTCAAGACATATTGTGGTTCCTCATAATTAAAAATGAAAAATGGGTATGCAAAGCATGTGGCGGGATAGCCCGTTTTGACATTTCAGTGCAACCCTGCCACCTTGTGGAGGAAATGAAAACCACATGCAAGTATAAGAGCAAAAACTCAGCAGATGGGACAAATATGTTTATTAAATATAAAACTCTTATTTGCATTACAGAAAAATACAAAGTTATTGGTAGATTAACAGAATCGCAGTGCTCTTGTTGTACATATTCATTACTTGAAATGTATTTTAATAAAATAATTCCAAATAAAAATTAAGAAAATAAAAGTACAGAGCGAGAAACATTAGAAGTCCAGATTGAAATATTTCTACAGATGCAAGTTAAAAATAACATGCTTTAATCAAGTGGTAAGCGTAAATAATTTAATGCACTGCAAGAATAGTATTTAAAATATTGAACAGCAATTAGTTTAGAAACTAGCACGTTAAAAACAAGTGCAGTCTCACAGTTGGTTTTAAGTCCTTTTGTCACGAGCTCCAACCACAAAGCAAAAAGTCTACAAGAAAAGCAGAAGTGGAGAATGTGAAAAGGATCTCACCAATTCACTGTTAATCTATACCAGACATAAACAGAAGGGGGTGAGGGGCTGCGTGTGAATTAGACTTAGTTTGTAAAGTGTTAACCAAAAAAAAGGAAAAAAATATATTTATAAATAGCTAAATAAATACTTTTCCTACGCAGTGCATAGTTCACTAATGAATGTAGTGTGGACTTTAGTTGTTGCCAAGTGGGGGATAAAAAGCACATGCCAGCAAATGTGTAATTCACTTTCTAGTGTTGACACTTAATGTAAAGCCAACTGATTCTTCAGTTTAGTGAAATACTGCCATGGAGGCCCAAAGGTCACAAACACTGCTTTTCCAAAAGTTCAGAAATTATATGTATTAATGTTTCTTATACCTGTCCATCCCAGAGGCAGGAGACAAGCATCTGACACTTTTTGTTTTGCATAGACCTAAAATAAATGTCGAGGCAATTCGAGGAAAAAAAATAATCTGCCAACTTAAAGACTTTACCTTTAAAATGATAAAGTTTTATCTTGTATCAAACTGTTAACCTAGCTGAACTTGAAGCACAGCCCACCTTGTGTCATGCAATCTAGTTGAACATAAAAAAACTAAACATAAAAAAAATACAGGCTTTGAAACGTCAATACAAAAAATACTTCTCAAACAGACGCCGATGAGGTATTACAGCCTTTAAACAAGCAGAACTGTTTTCAGATAAGATGAGAAGGCCACATTTTGACATCAATATGCTATACAGGCATTATGAGGACACTCAGTCTAAACACAACCAAAATGAATTATTCACTTCACCTATCTGTCCAGCTGTTGTATTGTCTTTCAGTCCAGTTATTTACTTATGCTGATATAATGATCATGACTAAGGCTGCATAATTCAGTTGCATAGGGGAAGTACTGACTTTTCAAGTAACTTCATCCTCAAGTCTTTGGTCAGTTTTTGATATAATGGCACAAACCCAACTCAAAATGTCATCTGCACATTTATGTGAAGTAAAGGCAAATGTGGAAAATGAGTTAAACTAGGCAGAGTTCTCAAACTGAGAAATTAATTAGCATTCTTAAAAAGCTCCTTGTTGTCCCCATAAGTATATCTTTCATAACCTGCATCATAGTCATGATTTCCCACCCCTTCAACAGTGGGCCAAGAAAATTTCACTTCCATAAACTGATCTAGAGTTTAGTGTTGCTTTCAGAAAGAAAAGCAAGTCTCCTCAGGGCTGCAAGTGTGACGGTGTGTTGCTCTCTGGGTCATTTTGAGCAAAGGCATCCATTTGGATCTTTGGGTAACAGAACCATCTTCACATTCTAAGTCTCTACCTGCCTCTGAAATTTTTAATAAAAAAATAATTTTTACTCCAGAGATCTTGATGTGGTCCGTTCAAGCTTGGAAGGCGGATTTTGGAGCAACTCTGTTTCCTCCAAACGTCGCCGAGGCAGAGCTTGAACCAAGCTCAAGGCTGCCAGGGTTTCCTGTCCTTGCCTTTCTGGTCAGAAAAGTGTTTATAGCGGCATTTATCCCCAAAATGGCACCCGGTAGTTCTCCAAAAGTAACACTCATCTCCATTAACTGGGCCACGTCGCCGAGGACTGAAAATGTGAAAGAGAAAAGATACAGAGAAAAAGATCACAAATCACATTAACTACTTTGTCAACAGAGATGGAAAAATCCTTTGTTGACTTAGTAGAGAACGTAAAGACAAGATGTACACGGGCTTGCTTGAGTATTTGGTTTGTTTGGACTTTGAATTTTGGGCTATAAGATGTCAATGTCTTTTGGGATTTTATGTAATGGACCAACAACATAATGCACAATTACAGAGCAGAATAATAATAACAATAAAAAAAACTTTGCACTCAATTCCAACTTTTTTTTTTTTTATCTTAAACCACCTACCATCTTCATTTCACTTCATTATAATACTTCTGTTGGTTTATCATAGAAAGGCAACAAAATACACTTGTGATGGGAAAATGCAGAACAGTTAAAAGGATATGAAAACTTTCACAAACTGTCGTCTTAAACCAAAACAAGAAAAGAATGTTTAAAAGCACATTTCTTACCCAGCTCCTGTGCCTGCTTGCTGTGTGACAGGGAAAAAAGTCCTAAGTGGAATGGGAAGGACCCTCTGAGTGCGGCGGTCGGGATACCTTACAACTAAACGTGTGTTTTCAATGCAGTATCCCTGCAGAAGAAAACATTTGCATTCAGACTAAAAAAAGACTGGATCAAGAAAGGCATTACAAGTGTGAAAATAAATAACTACTGACGTTTAGTTTTTCCATAGCTCTGGCTGCCATATCTGCATTCCTAAAATTCACAAAGGCACAGAATCGCTCATGCAGCACACGGATGCTCTCTATGTCTCCATACCTGCAGTATACAGACAGATTACCCACTCTGGTTAAAAGTTTGCCTTCCTAAGTTTCTGCACAACGCCAATTATACGAAACCCAGAAATGAAAATGTATTGAATACTGTACCACATTAAATTCATACGTTTTAAAAAGGTCCCATAAGTGTTTTTCTGTTATTTCTGTTGTCACATTTCCCACCCAGAGAGAAGGACAAGGGCTTCTAAAATAACATGAAAGACAATATGACTTAATATGTTATAATACCTGGATACACAGTTCAATCACAGGCCTGAAGTCTCATCTATCACAACAGGTTAAATTAAAAAAAAGGGTTAAATAGAAAATATTAATTTAAAAATAAATGGTCAAAAACACCTTTTGAACTATTGAGAATAGTCACCTACCCTGGTTGCACAACTGATACATCATGGCCTCCAGCTGCAGAAATAAAATTACATCATTGCTAAATTATATATAAATGTAGCTGCAAGGCATACAGAACAGCATTTGTATAATTTTGTGATTTTGTTTATTTTTATTTTTGTTACCTCTTGGTGTGTCTGAACAAGATGCCAGAACAGCCTGCACAGATGAAAATCTCTCCAGCAGTACAACACTTTGCATCTCTTCAAATCCAAACTCCTAAAGCAGAATAAAAAATATGCCATCATCAGGAAACGAGTTCAAAAGCCTCCCTATAAATTCCAATTACATCTAGCAAGAGCAAAGTAGGCACATTTACCATTAGCTGAAGGACTTTGCAACTGAAAAGATCATTCACAGCCTCTTCACAGTGTTTGTCCAGTTTTAACACCTGCTCCATAGCCTTCTCTGCCTCACTGTACCGCTACAACACAAGCATACAAAGATTTTGCATAGAGATGCACTCACAGATTGGGATGTTTCTTGTGTCTTGTGTGTGTGTATATATATATATATATATATATATATATATATATATATATATATATATATATATATATATATATATATACATATATATCATGCTCTGTGCTCACCTTCATGCCAATAAGAGCTCTGCCTTTGCGGAAGTATCCTTTGGCCCACTCTGGAGCCAGCTCAATGGAGCGTTCTGCATCCCCCAGCGCCTGAGGATACTGCTCCAAGCAGTAATAGCAATATGAACGGTTTCCAAAGAACCTGCATGAAAGAGATTTAAAATTTAAGGGGGGGAAAAAAACTGTATAATACACACCTTAGTACATGTAAACCCATGTACTAATATATCTGCAAAATATTTTGTAAATGTATTCATGCCTGCCAAACATTCCATGTTTTGTCACATTGCAACTACAAATTTCAATGCATTTTGTTGATGTTGTGATTGAACAAACTGGTGCATAATTAAAAATAGGGAATAAAACGATTAGTTTTTTTCTCTCAAAACTATCTGAAGTGTGGTTTCCAGGCTACTTTAATTAAACACCCCTGAATAACAAGCTGAGCAACCAATTATCTTCAGAAGTCACCTAATAAGTAAACAGCATTCACTCTTGAGTAATTTAATTTCAACATAAATCCAGCTGTTCTGTGCAATCCTCAGAGGTTCATAAGACTGAGGAACGCAACAGACAGGCCATGTGCAAAGTTGTGGAAAAATTTAAAGGAGGGTAATGTTATAAAACAATATGTTAGGTATTCAACATTTCAAAGACTGTTCAATCCACATGCCTGCTGTGGATCACCTTGTGGAACAAAGTGCTGCAGTCAGAGAAAGAAACAAAGCTTTTCAGTCCACAGGCAACATATGGTTCAAGTTCAAGACTTAAACTGCTGTTGATGAGCTGCATCCACAGTAACGGAAATTGAGCTGCTTAACCAGGACAAATGGACTAAAGTAATTCCGTTTGGAAGCTGGTGGAGACACACCCAAGAATTGTGCAGAAGTAATTGCTGCAAAATGTGGATCTGCACTGTATTGACTAAGAAAATAAAGCAAATGTTCGACACACATCTTAGGTCTTCATCTTGAAAAAAATAATTAAGAGCTTGTGGTTGTAACATGACCAAATTCAATGTATAGTCGTACATAGCTGCCAGAAGATGTACCTGTAATCCTTTGGGTCACACTTTATGGCTTCTGTAAACATGCAGGCTGCTTGTGCATACTGCCCTTCCTGCACCAACTTAATCCCTTTCTCTGCAAGACAAAGAAATGTAAATAACTTTCAGTTAAGATACTGGCCTGAAGACCTGACTGTTATAACACAGATGACGTTTGTAGAAAAGAATGTGTAATCAATAATCTTCTCAAAGCCTTTGTTGACGTTTAAATGAAAATTGAATTTAACGATTGGTTATGTGGCAAGATTCCACAAAAATCTCTCCTTACCCGTCAGCAATGCGCTTTTCTTGGTCATGTTGTCAGTTATGCTTGTCTACAAACAGAATGATAATACTTTCATCATGTCACATGCATGACAGTGGACAAACAGACAGGGTATTATAATATAGTCCATAGTCCAGAGTCCAGTTGTTCCCCGTTAAATAAGACTTTGGACCAGCCAGATGAACACAATACCCCGTCAGAATAAATAAAGAGATCGTTGTTGTTTTATACCAATTTATTATTTAATTTACCTCCTTTCTGGCCTCGTTTTCCTTGTTTTCTTTGGACTTGCGACTGGATCCTTTGGGTTTGATATGGCTAGCAGCATTCGCGAAGAAGGCACTGCTCACATCCCACTCTGGCTCCTGTAAAACACACAAAGCCAAACAGCTCTTAGATCACTCATCATCTGGCTTTAAAAAAAACCAAACATAATGCAAGTCTTTTAATAGTATTAGACAATGTGCAATAACCTCATTCATGCTCAGTACCTCTTCAGTTGAGTTGGCTTTTGTCTTCTGCTTGAGTCCTGCAGGAGCCATAACTGGAGTTACATTGTGCTTGTTAGGAGCAGCAGATTTAGTTTCCTTGTTCTCCTCTTTTGCGGCTCTTTGTTTTTCCTCTTCAGCAATGTCTGCTTCTGACTCGCTCTCATCCAGCTCAGACTCTGCACAACCGTCCTCTTCTTCGTCCTAATGTGCGAGATCATAAATACAATCACCTTTGAACAGCAAAGTGAAAATGTGGAATGTTTTCATCAAGGAAATGTAAGGGCTACCTGTTCAGCGGTATCATTTTGCTTGATCTGCTCTTGCTTCTTACGTTTCTTGCGGCGCTAAAACATTAAAAGTAATCCACGGCATCATTCATGTGTAGCAAAATAAACTGAAGTAGAATCATTTTCAGGAGTGTATTTAATTGCTCACCTTCCTCTTTGCTCGGCGTCGCTCTGCTTTCTGTCTGACCTTATCCTCCTCGCTCAGATCATCATCTCCATTCTGGAAAAACACACACATGTGCACACACACAGTAGTTTACCTCTGCACATTATAGCATAACTTTTGCTGTCAAAGCAGTTTTGGTCAGGATGACATTGTACCTGTGATAAAGTGGCATCATGACACGGGTCAGAGGTTGCAGCAACACAGTCCATTGGCTCCTCCTGTTGCTGCACAGCAGGGCCTGTTAGGAAACAGCACACAAGTCATTGTGACTTGGATTCATTTGTAAATTGAGTGTTTTGACTTTTTGTTCCATTTTGTTTTTAACATGGAACTTCTGTGCTGCCATCTTGGCCATTCTTAATGTCCGAGATTAAATATAAATTTTAAGCAAATCATAAGGTAATATCTAGTTTTACTATCACTGTCCAAGAAAAGACTTTCCAGTATATGAGCTTTCCACATCTACTGATTACATAGATGAAGGTATGCTATAAGCTTTTTAAGAGTTCTTAAGACTTAATGTCCTTTGAAGGTGATGCTAGAGGAAAGGTCTGGGTGGCTAGTTTTCTCCAGTTGTGCAGATCATAGAATAGAAAAAGTTGCCCTGCCCCACCTGTTGCTGCACTACTGGTGAATACCAGTAAAATAAGGTTACCACAGTTTTCCCTCACAAGAAAGATAAATTTGGCTTTTTGAAAATATTTCTGGTTTTGAAAAACACAAAACACAGAGCCTAAAGAGTACCACTCATCACTTTAATAAACCACTGTTTAAAACTGCAGTGACCAAGCAACAATAGGCATGTCTGTTAGCTAGTCAGTTACAGGCTGGTTACTAAAGTCTTGTTCAGAAAAGGGCGATTATTGGGGGTCTTGTTCAGAGAAGACCCCCAATAATCGTTCTCAGAACGATTATTGGGGGTCAGTCTGGATTTGTTACCATTACTATTATGTGTCATTATAGTGTATATTTGAGAAATGGACACTCTGTTCATACTTTATTACAAAAATGGCTAGATTCCAAACAGTTTACCAACACTAACCAATCACACTTGTAGCAACTTTTTCATTTGGGTTTATTATGTTTTCTTTATGGAGTTGCTTCATGTTGCTAATGGTAACTAACTAAATTGGACATTGAAATTTTATATTGTTATATTGACAGGGTTAAAATATTTTTATATTTCCATCATGTACTTATATTATATGTTTATGTTTCTTTTCAAGGTTACTCTGCAGCACAAGTCCATGGACAATAGATATGTAATTCAGAATAGACATTCAGCAATCTCTGGCATTTTCTTAAGTGGTTATTTGTAAGAAAGCACAGTTGTTGAAAAACCAGTCTAAATAATAATGTTTTCCCAATTACACTTAGGCTAAAGCCATAAAACAAGCATTGAGAAACTAGACTCAATAGGTCTTTATTCTATAAGGTGACAAAGTTTATTAATACTAAAATTATTATACTTGCATTAGTGTTAATTAAGCCACAGTAAAAATAAATATAAATTTTCTGTTTTAAGTAAAATCTCTTAGATTATGCCACATTCTGTTTTATACTTTTTGGAGACACCCTGATCCCATGCTATTTTTTACTAAAGGCTGTCATGCTATCAGACTCTTATAAGCCCATGGTTAGACCAGTTGAACAACAACCTACACTGACAAACAATGTGGCATTCCTGTACTGTACTATAAAATGAGAAACAGACAGCTGTGACCCTCGGGCTTAAAGGTTAAGCTTTTTTCACTTTCAAATCACAGATTGTCCAATTAATGCAAAGTACAATTTAAGAAATTCTATGTTTTCAGATTTTGAATTACTTATCAAAATGCATTGTTTGAGCATCTACTCCTCCATAAGCATCCAAATAGATCTTGTTTTAAAAGTTCTGCCATCTGAACGTAGGATGAACATGTTCCTCCATCATATTCAAGTTTATCTGCTTTAGGTTTTAGTAACAAAACATTTTAAAAATAACTGTGGGTGAAGAAAAGGATAGTAGTTATTATTAAACCATTTCTGAGAAGCAGGAATGCTTAACAATGCTGAACTGAAAACTGCCCAACGAGATTAATTCATGTTGTTTCTCTTTGGTCTTAAGCAAAAGGAACAGTTTAGCCATCACATACCACAAACGGTGGTAGGACGGCGGTTTCAGAGGACTTCCGTTTCTCTGAGACCTGGCTAAATACGACCTAGAGAGCAGACACTGGCTTTTTAAAGTGGGGTCTATTGTTTGGGTATACACCAGATGCAATCTCTGCAGTTTCTCCATGCAGAGAACATGGAGACAAATCACAAGACAAAAAAAATGAAGCAAAAACAACTGGCCTTGAAGGAAACTTTGCGGTGTCAGATTTCTATTGGTTCAGCAAAGTGTTGCGGAGAATGACAAATCCATACTTGGTCTGTGACTCATGTGACTCGTAAAGTGGGGATGGACAATTTTGCCTTTGAAATGCATACATACGGCACACTCAGTCTTTTCTGGGAGTGGGGCGAGAAAAAAAAAAAGACGGGGAGCCTCTGGGCTTCCTGATTCTCTCAATGTTTATGTGTCTTCTGCTGGGTGCAGCAGCTCTCGTCAACAATGTAGAAAGTAATAAAGGAATCCTAGCCAGCTGAAAGAACCCAGACCTTTTTAACCCCCCAGCCCCTTACATTTTAAAATTGAAGCGTTTAAATAAAGAATCCAGCACTGGAATGTAGCAGAAAACACAAACATGTTGAAAGCATTGGGAATAAAGTCAGCTGTTCATGTGTGCCACATTTCTCCAATGACAAAAGTCTCGAATGTCGCCAAATCTGACTTTCTGTTCAAGGATTACCTTGGGGGAATGCGCTCTGAACACTTAAATGATACAAGATCGGTGGACAAAGACAACAAAAGATCCTCTGTTTCTTCTGTTCAGAGAAACTTCCCAAATCAGAGTGCAGTTGAAAGGTGAGCTCTTTCCACAGGAATGCAAAAATAACAGAGTATCTTTGGGAACTGGTGGGCCGGACAGAATAAGCTTCACTGATAGTTCGCTGTTAGAAAAATGTCAATGGATTTTATAGGACTCACAGGTGCATTTTAGCTGCATTTTGCCACAACAAAATACAGCTTGAAGGAATGACTGTTTTTTAATTAGGCAAAAAAAAAATTAAAAAAAAGGAAAATTGTGAAACATGAGCTAACTCAAAAGTTTAGTTTGCAAATGAGCAAAAAAAACCCAAAAAAGCCTGAAATTTGATCACATAATCAATAACACCTGTGTCCTATGAGTGTTGAAGGAGTTATTTCTGGATGCTCAGCTGCCTCTAATGTCACTCTTAACATACATGCATCCTGTTGAGCAAAACATGACATCCTAATTGGGAGAGAAAAAAAAAGAGGAACATAGCTCAGGCCAACTTCAGAGACACAACTTGTCTCGTCTTACATAAATGCTCCCACAGGGAAGAGTATGCCACCTATCTGAAGCATTGTTTTCATACCAACGCGAACAGGGCATTTATTTCAGTTTGTTTGGTCTTTTAGGACAACACATACCTCTCCCATCGGCACATTTATCATTCACAGACCTTACCTGATGAATAAAAGGCTGCGTGAATCCGCCATAGGTGAACGTAAAAAGAATTTTGACTCCCGAGAAGCGAGGGACGAGATGTGGGGAAAGGGAGGAACTGGCAACATGGAAACTTTTCATTGTTACGCGAACTCCATTTAAGCCGCTCGACAGAGACGAGCGAGACGCACAACAACAAACACGAAGCAGCCCAACGTTCCGCATGCTAAACGAGTTCCTGAGTTCGCCCACCGCATCGCTATTGTGGGGCTCTGAACTTGTGGCCAGTTCATGAAAGTTTTCAGAAGAGGGACGTTTTTCTTACCGCTTCCGAGTCCCAACAGCCGGCATATGTCCCTGGTGAATTTCATGAGCGCAACCATCCAGCATTATCCTCTGAAATAAACCTCCCGAAATGTTTTTAACTACGGTTAAAGTCGGCGTGGAGACCTTTTTCACACATTGGGAAAATCGCTATCTGCGGGAATCTTCGGTGGTTTAATCCGCTTCCTGAGCGTCAAACGCCCGACGCTGGGTCCACCCTGAGCAGCGTCTTAAAGGCACAGGACACGGACACCTGCTGGAAGAGGAACAGCACGGTTCTGACTCTTTTGTTTACTAGTATGCGTTTTTCTCCAAATGAAGTAATTATGCAGGTATATTAATCGTGCATAACAATTCTAAAAGAAAAAAAAGGAAAAATTATACAGGGATGGTCAACCTTCACTGGATAAATGTTCCCACGTCTTACTCTGGATTATTATCTAATGACTGGAAATGTTTCATTTACTGCAGCTCACATCACTGTTTCATTTTTCTGAATGTGCAGACTTCCCTAAGTAGGCGTTTACAATTGACTTCCTTGAATAAGCTTTTACAATATTTATATTTCAAAGGGGTTTATGAAGCTTAAGAATCTTTTTTTTTTCAGGTAAACTAGAGGTTTTCTCTGGGGGATTACTGCACTAAGAATTGTACCAACATTAATAGTAATTAATGTGGTTAAATAATGATGTAGAGCTACACAACAAAAACATGCAACTGCAGACTATTGTTGTGAAATTACTGACTGCAGACTGAATGCTGACACAGTTATTAATGTTGCATCAAAAAGGACCTTGGTTTGAATCCCTGCCTGGGGTCTTTTTGCATGGAGTTTGCATGTTGGGCCCCTGTATGTGTACGTTTTCTCTGGCTTCCTTCTGCAGTACAAAAATACGCAAATATCCATGTTAGGTTAACTGGTCTCTAAATTGCCCTTGGGTGAAATGTGTGAATGCGTGGCTGTTTGTCCTGTGATTAACTGCCAACCTGTCCATGTACCTGCCACTAGCCTAAATACCGCTGAAGTTATGGCCCTGCATATATAACAGGATACAGACAAAAGACAGATGGGAGATATTAATTTACTTTGTTTTGTCAAACACACCAAACTTTACAAAACAGCTTTGCTTGGATTTATTTAAACATTTTCAAACCAAAAATTTTCACGGTACATAATTTTCATGATTGCAATCATCTTAGATAATGGTGTTAAAATGTTAGTTTTGAACAACATGCAAGCTTTTGTGCTGCTCATCTTTAGCTGATACTTGTATAAAAAACGTATTTCCACTTGATTAAACTGATACATATTAACTACTTTTCCCAATCAAAATGTGTTTCAAAGTCGCAATAGTCTAAAAAGATAACTGCAAAACCTCTCCCACAGACCATTTCATTGTCACCTTCATTACATGTTTATAGGATAAGATTTGACTTCTTTCATCCATGGTTGTAGAAAAGTACCCCAAATTAAAGACATTTGATCAAATATATTCCTTTAAATAAGTATCCATACCCCTTAAACGGTATGGATAATACCCAGGTATAGTTGGAGGCCAGCAGGACATGGCTTCTGTGAACTGACTGGTTAGGAAAAGGGATCAATAATCAGAGAAGTGGTCAAGATTACCATGGTAACCTTGGAGGAGCAGCAAAGACTAGTTGTTCAGGTGGGAAAACCTGTTGACAAAAATACCTCTTGGCCAAGTTTCTCACAAACCTGGTCTTTGTGGAAGAATGGCAAGAAGAAAGTTACAGCAAGTAGTTGACCATACAACTATGTATGATCAAACTGCACTGAAAATTAACATTTCGGCCTAATATCCTCCTGATCATGCTGTGGGGCTACTTCTCTTCAGAAAATACATGGACGTAGGTCAGAGTTGATTGGCAGATGCATGGAGCTCAATACAGGGAAATGCTTGAATCTTGCTTCACAACTATGTGCTACTTTGTATTGGTAAGTCACTAACCATTCTAGTAAATACAGTGAAATTTGTTCGTGGAACATGACAGAATGTGACATTAAAGGGGTATGTGAGTACTTATGCAAGACTGGAGTGTGGGTTGCAATTTTTAATTTTGAACTTTAAAAAGTTTTTTTTGTTTTGTTTTGTTTTTTGTTTGTTTGTTTACTGATATGGTTGTGCAGTATAGAAGAGGTTAGTGTACGCTTTTGCAATAATGCTGTCACAATTCTCAGCGACGCTTCAAATCAGATATAACAGTGAGCGCTGCGTTCCAGCCTGGAGAACCCATCACACCGCCACCTGGGAATCATCAAACACAGGAAAATCACACACTGTTTACTCAATGAGCAGACAGACAAAGCAGCAATGAAAATCTTGCTTCAAACTCAAAGGCTCATTAAATATTTATCAACAGTAACCACATGAAAAATTTAAATGCCTATTACTTTGCTATAAAAAGAAAATTATTCTGTAAATGCAATTTATTATCCAGTTAAAATGAAACGGAAAACCTGGATGACAGCCACTGCCACACAGATAGAGTCCTTTAATTGGTGAGCGGTAGTCTGAAAGTGAGGGCAAAGGTCGTGCTAGGTAGAGCTGGTCCAGAGACATTGATCCATGAAAGATATTCTGTGAAAACAAGCTCATATTGTATGCTTTTGCATCTGAGTTTTACATAACCATGCACACTCTTTTGTTTGATGGACGCCACATTGAAACAGAAAAACACACATGCACAATGCTGAAACAAAGCTGTGTGAGGGAAAAAAAAAAGGCTCAGCTGAACTTTGATTCTCATTTATAGGTTTGTGTAAAAGTGTCTATAACCATTAACCCCTTACACAACAGGCCACATGAAGGATTCAAATTACTTCCCCCTTCAGTGAAGAGCTGATTGTGTCAAGCAAACGGACTCTATGTCAACATTCAAACGGCTTCTCATCTGTAATGTGTGCAGTGCACAGTTTGTACCCCGCCAGTGAGTCCAAAGATCTTCTCCAGGTCAGGAGGAGACAGGATGTCTCTCCCCACAACAGAGGTTTTAAACCCAGGGGCGTATTGTTCCACCCAGTCAAAAACTGCAACAGCAGACAAAAATAGACTTTTTTTTTTTTTTACTGACACAGGTTAATCAATACAGTTATCTAAAGATAACCAATATTTTAAACTAATGTTTTCCTTTTAGAAAGAAAAGGCTCTTAAAAAAGACATAGTCAGGTACAGGTTAATCAATACAGTTATCTAAAGATAATCAATATTTTAAATTCATTTTTTCCTTTTAGAAAAAAATCCAAACAGTCTGAAGCCAGGTTGTGATGGTTGCTGCAGACTAATAAGTTTAGAGGAAGACATTGTTTTTAGCATAAGTGTAATTTGTGTTTCTAACCAGTGTCTGCGAAGTCCTCTCTGTCCTGCTGGGTCCACTCCCTGCCCTTGATGTGGTAGGGGGTAAACTGAGTGAACAATGACACAACATGGCAGCCAGGGGGAGCCAGAGTGGGATCCAAAACAGATGGGACAGTCATCTCCAGCATAGGTCTACAGGAAAAGAGAACATAATTTGGTCCAGGGTGGGATTTTTTTAAGCAACAAGCAGTGAACATGGTAGATATCTTTAATATTTTATGACATATACATATAAAATATATGTCACTGAAAAGAGATCCCTTGAACAAATCAACTTATTGGTTACCTTTAGTATTTTGCTCCGATAATCTTGAAATATAAAAACTTTAGTCGCTGCAGGGTTGATGACATATCTTTCATCCATATCCACTAATCCACACGAATGAGTTTGAAGCAGAGGAATGAGGAATAAAGTCAAACCTTGCTGAGGGGCGTCCATTGATGGCCTCTTTATATGCAGCCTCAAGTATGTCCACGCTTTCACAATTCAGATGTATTGAGCACTGATGGTGGGGTCCAGGCTTATCATCTGGTGTGGGTGATGCCAGGAAGTTTGGTAATTTATCTAATGCCACTGAAAGTAAAAGTAAACAAAAACAGTCTGAGTTTTTTCCCCACTTTTTCAGAAAGAAACACCTTGGGGGAGGTGAGAAATATGACAGCTATTTTTGCTCACAAATGCAAATCATTAAATGTAGGTGTACTTTTAACTAAACACAGATACAAGTATAAATGTAGGACTGGGGTATGCTTCCAAATCAAATCTATCACAGTCAAATGGTAGTGATATTGTAACAAAGTAAAAGTAACAGTCATTCCACTATCTTTGCCAGAAAAGATTGTGGAAAGATTGAACCACAGTTTTTGCTGTGGTTCAAAGCAAAACCAAAAACCAAAGCAAAAACTTTGGAACTTTTAAACTTTGAACCAAAGTTTCTCGACCAACTAAAAATAGGTTTTTGTTGAGAATTCAACACCTTTTCCACTCAACTTTACATTTTGTGTGTTGTATTTGCTAGGGATGTTAGTTGATATTTTCTCTCCACATTAAAATAAAGTTAATAAAAAATGGTAGCAGTTTATTAGTCTGTTCATCTAAGATTTTTCTTACACATTTTCACAGTTCAGTGATTACTGCAACTCCCTATGGAATGCATAAACTATCATCTAATTCGCAAACCACATACAAGTCAAAGAGGCCTGACAGGACTTAAGAAGGTCAACAGCCGTCCATGCAGAGCCTTGTCTGCACGTCGTAGGCAATGCCCTTTGAATTCTGCCTTACTTCAGGGCAGGACAGATTTGATACAAATTTTAATAAAGACTTTAACAGAAGCAGAAAAGGCTCACCGTTAATCTTTGTAACAGGAGAGGTGTAGTCCACCTGGTCTACAGCTTTGATGAACTCTTCAGAAAGAGCACCCTACGGAGAGAACAGACACATCAGCTGCACATTGCCTTCTGCACTGCTGACATGAGTTGGGGATGCACAGTAATACCTTTGGTGTCAGGTACTTGAAGGTAGCATAGGGGGTGGCATTTGACAGAACCACATTACTGTGAATCTCGGTGCCATCTTTTAGCACTACTCCTTTAGTTGCACCATCTGAACCAACAAGGATCTGTTCGACATTCTACCCAAGATGCGGAGAAAACACAATCAACCAGTGACAAAACATAGGACAATAAAATATCAAATGATCACCTTACCTTGTCTGTGAAAACGTCTACTCCGTAAGACTGAGCAGCTCTTGCTATAGCCTGAGACACACCTCCCATGCCTCCCTCCACATAACCCCACGCTCCTTTCTCCTTTTCCAGCTCTCCCATTACATGGTGTAAGAGCACATACCTTCATGACGACATATGCATCATAA